GTATGGATTTAGATGATGAATCATCAGATGATGAAATAAGTATTGAAGAGATTAGTAAAAATGATGGACCAACTGCATTGGAAATAATGCATCTTCTTCCTACTTATGATTTGAAATTAGCATTTCCTAATTTGTATTTAGCTTACCAAGGATTATGTACTATGCCCGCATCATCAGCTTCAGCTGAAAGGAGCTTTTCAAAGGTATAATGTTATAACAATCATTTAATTCTAACAATAAAGATTCCAATTGTAATTAGTATCATATGTAATATAATTTTAATATTTCAGGTTAAGCTCATTAAAACACGACTACGCTCAACAATGGGGCAATCTAGATTGGAAAGTTTATTGATTCTTTCCTGTGAGAGGGATAAGAAAATAAATATTGAAGATGCAATTAATACTTTTGGAAATTCATCAAGTCTTCTTAAAAAATGTTTAATGTATTCCTAGTTTGAAAATTTGTGTGGGATTTGTAACATTATTTTTTGTCGATCATAATGACATTACTAATTATATTATACCATCATCTTTATACATTATTTTATTTTCATTATTTAAGCGTTTTACTATTTCTCTTAGTATATGTAATACTATGAAAGTAATACTAATTATATATTGGGCACATCCTATTTTTTTCTTATAAATGAATAATGTGGTGGTTTTACGGGGGTGGTCCAGGGGGACTGCTCCCCTCCCCCCGGTCCTCGATTAGGTTTTATGTCTTAATATATTATAAGATATTAATATTAAAGGACCGCCCCCCCCCCCAGGAAAAATTCATGAACCGCCACTAAATAAATATATGTATAGCCTCTTCCAAAATATAAAATTCTAGTTTTGTCTAGAGGTGTGAGTTAAAATATATTATTTTAATAAAAATTTGGGGGTGGGTGGGTATAGATCAAATGGACATGTTGCTGTCCCATTCATTAAAATAGTTCGCTCCGCCACTGTATATATATATTATATATGTATAGTTAATTTATCCGAGTTGTTAATAGAACAACTACATTGTGTTACTGTAAACCTTAGATCATATTATACAATGTATGTAAGCTGTAAACACAGATTGTATTATTATGTAATATGATAATATGAAAAATTCATAAACCATAATCATACATCATAATTCATAATTAAAGTGCCGGTAGTCGTGCAGTGTGTTACTGAGTTATTAAGACATTAATAAATGAATTTCAAAAAATTACAAAAATAAAAATTTACTATTCGAACGACAGATTAGTATTCGATATAGTAATACCACTGATTACTGACACTGAACTTAGATTATACAGGTTAACACCAGTACCAATGCGTCATAACCAAGATAATTCTAGTGGATGGTACATGATGGACATTACTTATAATAATATTGCTGTAACCAAAGGTTATAAAAGGTTTACTACATACACAGATCAACAATTAAACAAATGTAAAGAAACATCGATATACAAAATATGTAATACACCACAACCTATACAGGACAACAATGAACGCCAACCATGCGATGTACAAAACTTTATAAAAGCTGACACGTATGCTAATCCTGAGATATGTACAGTAAAGAAAATTAATTTAAAAAGAAGCATATACCAAAAATTAAAAAGGAAAAATACATGGATTCACGCAGGAAAAGAGACTTTAACTATAAGTTGCGCGAACTTAATAGACCCATTCATAATACAAACAAATGAAGCAGGAGAAATAGCTATAAACGACATTAGTTGTCAAGTATATGCACGGGACGCGGTATTAACTGCCACGGAAGAAATCCAAATTACAAAATATAAAGACTTTACACCTGTAACTAACATGAGTAATATTTTAGAAAAAATACCTGAACATATACACAAATTCGAAACAGATGAAAAATGGGAAAAGGGACTAGCTATGCAATCCACAGATTTACACGATGCATCCAAATCCTTAGACGAAGTACAACAAATGATTAACCAAGAACTTTCAAGAGAACAAAATCAAAAGCATCAATTTGTACACAGTAATTTACTATATGTAACAATAGTACTGGCAGTAATATCTATTATACTAATAATAGAAATTTACATAATGATAAAATGCAAGTATATCAGGTCCACAGAAGTCATGGAATTTCCCGGCAGAATAGTTAGATATAGGGCACCCAATAGAAATGACTACGTACGAAATTATGAAGAGACACCCTTTACTCCACCCCCTTCACCAAGATAAATTAATTAATTAATTAAAAAAAAATATATAATAAAATAAGATAATAACAATAAATAAAAAAAAATAAAATATAAGTTAGGAAAAATAGTAATAATATACAATAATAATAATTAAATTAGAGGTAAACGATTAATTTAATAAATAAATAAGAGCTAGGTATATGTAAACTATTAAAGAAATACTATATATATAATTATGTTTCAGGAAACAATCAAGAGGGATTTCAAAAAAATATAATAAAATACATAAACATGAGCGAACCCACACCAATGCCTGAGCCTAATGTTTTTTATAAGGAACTAAGGGATAGGTTACTAAATGATACACATGATCAATTGGTACTAAGGAACACAATATATGTACGTTGTTTTAGACAACACGTAATAGACGCAAATAATAATATGCAAGTACCTTTTAACGAAACTGAACTTGAAACCGTTATGGGTCCGTTAACAGCCTTCTTTTGCACTAGATGTAACCGCGAACCAGCCTATAATTCAATGTGTTTAAAAATCGCAGAAATATTAGATCAATATTATATTCAACACCAAATTTACAGTGAAGAACATATTCGATAAATAAATTAAACAAAACAAAAAAATAAAATAAAAAAATAATAATAAGATATAATACGTGCATAAAGAAATAATACGTAAAATAATATTCTATAATTTAAATAAAATAATATTACGTGCATAAAAAATATAATAATATATACATATACGTAAATAATATTCTAAATAATACTTATATAACAATAACTTTTAACTATTTCAGAAATTAAGAAGAAAACAAAATATATATATAAAAACAAACGTAAAATTTAAAGTACAAAATGGGTGAGAACATACCACCTGTAGCACGAACCGTTCGAATGCAACTACAAACATTTGATTTTCTCAGAGAATTAAAAAACGAATTAATTGAATCAACCAATCATACACAAATAACGCGAGGGGAAGTAGTCAGATTACATTGCTTTCCGGAACACATAAGAAGGGCAAATAATAATATGACCATACCTTTCAGGCCGAATGTCTTAGCAAGGGTCATGATCCATGTTAATGACTTTGTACGCACAGTTATCATAAGACCAAATCATAGTCGACCCATGTGTGTAGAGTTGGGTTTACTAATAGAACAACTAATCAGAAGACGTGTCATCGTCGAAACGATTTTCGAAGAATAACTTCAGGAATATATCATATACATAGCAATAAATAATTTACCAGAATCAAATTTTAAAGAGTCCCGTGTACGTAAAAAAAAGAAAATGGCTGGTGAACAAGCAAATGATGAAATAATTATTTCAGCGTCAGAAAGGTATGATTATTATAATATTTAAATAGGTACCTACATATTTTAATGATTTTAATTTTTTAATTTAGATTCAAAATCAACACTTATTTCAAAGCATTAGATCAAATCATAACATCAATTACTAATAGATATAATGGAGCTCGTGACATTTTTAAGGATTTATCACTTCTCTCTACAAATCGATTAATGGAAGTTTCCAAATCTCCAAATGTAATGCCCATAGACTCATTTCTTTATTTATCGAAATGGATAAAAGACATAAATATAAAAAAACTGAAAAATGAGTATATTATATTCAGCAAAAATTTCACAGAACTTATAAGTGGTATAACACTACCAACAAAACTTCATTCAATTGAAACTGAAACATCAGAAAATATGTTGAGTATGGATTTAGATGATGAATCATCAGATGATGAAATAAGTATTGAAGAGATTAGTAAAAATGATGGACCAACTGCATTGGAAATAATGCATCTTCTTCCTACTTATGATTTGAAATTATAATATTTCATATTTTAAATGGCAACTTATTTGTTGGTTATTTGAATTAATTATTCTTCTCAATTCATATTTTAAAGAAATTGTGGAAAATAAAGTAATTGATAATTTGGACATGCCAATTCCTGGTACATCAGATGAGGCAGATGAGCAGTGTGCTTTACCAGCTGCTGGTGAGTAATTACTAAATAATATTTATTTTTAAAATACATTTTAGTCTGATTGGAAATAAGGTCATTTTTATTTTACATAGCCCGTAGGTATTTTTCATAAATTAGGGGAATAAATTCTGAAATTCTAAGCACTAAAGCAGAGTATTGATTCATTTTTTTTTTGACATTCATAAAACTATCTAAATTGACTATAATAATACTATTATGATACACCAAATTTAGTCAAATTAAATTGATAGTAGATATTTTATTTATTAATGATAGAAAAAAATTAATCAATCATCATTTATTCTATTAGTAATTTTTTCATTTTTAAAATACTCTTATTTTCTAGTTATTTAAGTTAATTATTCATGGTCATATTATATATTTATAGAAATTGTTGTTAATGAATACAAAGTTGTTGATGATTTGAACATACCGATTCCTGGTACATCAGATGAGCTGTGTCCTCTACCAGCTGGTAAGTAATCATGTTTCTTTAAGTTTTAATTTTTGATAAATTAGGGGGAATAAATAATTATGAAATTCTAAGCACTAAAGCAGTACCTATTGATTCAATTTTTTTTTTCTTTGACATTCATAAAATTATCTTTATGCACAGTCATATGATGGAGCTGCTTCAATGCAAGGGGAGTATTCTGGTTTGAGAACATTTATCCAAAATGAAAACCCACAAGCAGTATATGTCTGGTGCTTTGCTCATATAATGAATTTAGTAATAGTTGATACTTTAGACTATACTACAGACATAAGGAATTTTTTTGGAGAATTACAAAGCTTAGTAAGCTACATGAGAGCTAGAAAACGTACAGCAACATTTTACGAATGCCAAAAGAATTTAAATGTCGGAACCAAATCTAAGGATCGCATTCGGAAGATAAAAAATGTTTCCGATACTAGATGGACGTCACATGACCGCGTTATTTCTGTGATTCATGATAAATTTGACGCATTAATTGATACTTTAAATATTCTGTCCAGCTCAACAGATAGAGTAACATCTTCAAACGCACGCATTTTCTTACAAACAATTTCATCATTTAATTTTATATTGATTTTAAAATTGGTAGGCAGAATATTTTCAATTACAACTCCTACATCGTGTTACTTGCAATCTAAAAACATTGATTTTATTCAAGCTTTTCAACTAATAGACAATGCTAAAGAACAATTAGTTGCACTTCGTTCTGATGAAAAGTTTGATGATCTAGCTGAAGACTCTAAAAAATTTGCAATTGATCATAATTTACCAGAATCAAATTTTAAAGAGTCCCGTGTACGTAAAAAAAAGAAAATGGCTGGTGAACAAGCAAATGATGAAATAATTATTTCAGCGTCAGAAAGGTATGATTATTATAATATTTAAATAGGTACCTACATATTTTAATGATTTTAATTTTTTAATTTAGATTCAAAATCAACACTTATTTCAAAGCATTAGATCAAATCATAACATCAATTACTAATAGATATAATGGAGCTCGTGACATTTTTAAGGATTTATCACTTCTCTCTACAAATCGATTAATGGAAGTTTCCAAATCTCCAAATGTAATGCCCATAGACTCATTTCTTTATTTATCGAAATGGATAAAAGACATAAATATAAAAAAACTGAAAAATGAGTATATTATATTCAGCAAAAATTTCACAGAACTTATAAGTGGTATAACACTACCAACAAAACTTCATTCAATTGAAACTGAAACATCAGAAAATATGTTGAGTATGGATTTAGATGATGAATCATCAGATGATGAAATAAGTATTGAAGAGATTAGTAAAAATGATGGACCAACTGCATTGGAAATAATGCATCTTCTTCCTACTTATGATTTGAAATTAGCATTTCCTAATTTGTATTTAGCTTACCAAGGATTATGTACTATGCCCGCATCATCAGCTTCAGCTGAAAGGAGCTTTTCAAAGGTATAATGTTATAACAATCATTTAATTCTAACAATAAAGATTCCAATTGTAATTAGTATCATATGTAATATAATTTTAATATTTCAGGTTAAGCTCATTAAAACACGACTACGCTCAACAATGGGGCAATCTAGATTGGAAAGTTTATTGATTCTTTCCTGTGAGAGGGATAAGAAAATAAATATTGAAGATGCAATTAATACTTTTGGAAATTCATCAAGTCTTCTTAAAAAATGTTTAATGTATTCCTAGTTTGAAAATTTGTGTGGGATTTGTAACATTATTTTTTGTCGATCATAATGACATTACTAATTATATTATACCATCATCTTTATACATTATTTTATTTTCATTATTTAAGCGTTTTACTATTTCTCTTAGTATATGTAATACTATGAAAGTAATACTAATTATATATTGGGCACATCCTATTTTTTTCTTATAAATGAATAATGTGGTGGTTTTACGGGGGTGGTCCAGGGGGACTGCTCCCCTCCCCCCGGTCCTCGATTAGGTTTTATGTCTTAATATATTATAAGATATTAATATTAAAGGACCGCCCCCCCCCCCCCCAGGAAAAATTCATGAACCGCCACTAAATAAATATATGTATAGCCTCTTCCAAAATATAAAATTCTAGTTTTGTCTAGAGGTGTGAGTTAAAATATATTATTTTAATAAAAATTTGGGGGTGGGTGGGTATAGATCAAATGGACATGTTGCTGTCCCATTCATTAAAATAGTTCGCTCCGCCACTGTATATATATATTATATATGTATAGTTAATTTATCCGAGTTGTTAATAGAACAACTACATTGTGTTACTGTAAACCTTAGATCATATTATACAATGTATGTAAGCTGTAAACACAGATTGTATTATTATGTAATATGATAATATGAAAAATTCATAAACCATAATCATACATCATAATTCATAATTAAAGTGCCGGTAGTCGTGCAGTGTGTTACTGAGTTATTAAGACATTAATAAATGAATTTCAAAAAATTACAAAAATAAAAATTTACTATTCGAACGACAGATTAGTATTCGATATAGTAATACCACTGATTACTGACACTGAACTTAGATTATACAGGTTAACACCAGTACCAATGCGTCATAACCAAGATAATTCTAGTGGATGGTACATGATGGACATTACTTATAATAATATTGCTGTAACCAAAGGTTATAAAAGGTTTACTACATACACAGATCAACAATTAAACAAATGTAAAGAAACATCGATATACAAAATATGTAATACACCACAACCTATACAGGACAACAATGAACGCCAACCATGCGATGTACAAAACTTTATAAAAGCTGACACGTATGCTAATCCTGAGATATGTACAGTAAAGAAAATTAATTTAAAAAGAAGCATATACCAAAAATTAAAAAGGAAAAATACATGGATTCACGCAGGAAAAGAGACTTTAACTATAAGTTGCGCGAACTTAATAGACCCATTCATAATACAAACAAATGAAGCAGGAGAAATAGCTATAAACGACATTAGTTGTCAAGTATATGCACGGGACGCGGTATTAACTGCCACGGAAGAAATCCAAATTACAAAATATAAAGACTTTACACCTGTAACTAACATGAGTAATATTTTAGAAAAAATACCTGAACATATACACAAATTCGAAACAGATGAAAAATGGGAAAAGGGACTAGCTATGCAATCCACAGATTTACACGATGCATCCAAATCCTTAGACGAAGTACAACAAATGATTAACCAAGAACTTTCAAGAGAACAAAATCAAAAGCATCAATTTGTACACAGTAATTTACTATATGTAACAATAGTACTGGCAGTAATATCTATTATACTAATAATAGAAATTTACATAATGATAAAATGCAAGTATATCAGGTCCACAGAAGTCATGGAATTTCCCGGCAGAATAGTTAGATATAGGGCACCCAATAGAAATGACTACGTACGAAATTATGAAGAGACACCCTTTACTCCACCCCCTTCACCAAGATAAATTAATTAATTAATTAAAAAAAAATATATAATAAAATAAGATAATAACAATAAATAAAAAAAATAAAATATAAGTTAGGAAAAATAGTAATAATATACAATAATAATAATTAAATTAGAGGTAAACGATTAATTTAATAAATAAATAAGAGCTAGGTATATGTAAACTATTAAAGAAATACTATATATATAATTATGTTTCAGGAAACAATCAAGAGGGATTTCAAAAAAATATAATAAAATACATAAACATGAGCGAACCCACACCAATGCCTGAGCCTAATGTTTTTTATAAGGAACTAAGGGATAGGTTACTAAATGATACACATGATCAATTGGTACTAAGGAACACAATATATGTACGTTGTTTTAGACAACACGTAATAGACGCAAATAATAATATGCAAGTACCTTTTAACGAAACTGAACTTGAAACCGTTATGGGTCCGTTAACAGCCTTCTTTTGCACTAGATGTAACCGCGAACCAGCCTATAATTCAATGTGTTTAAAAATCGCAGAAATATTAGATCAATATTATATTCAACACCAAATTTACAGTGAAGAACATATTCGATAAATAAATTAAACAAAACAAAAAAATAAAATAAAAAAATAATAATAAGATATAATACGTGCATAAAGAAATAATACGTAAAATAATATTCTATAATTTAAATAAAATAATATTACGTGCATAAAAAATATAATAATATATACATATACGTAAATAATATTCTAAATAATACTTATATAACAATAACTTTTAACTATTTCAGAAATTAAGAAGAAAACAAAATATATATATAAAAACAAACGTAAAATTTAAAGTACAAAATGGGTGAGAACATACCACCTGTAGCACGAACCGTTCGAATGCAACTACAAACATTTGATTTTCTCAGAGAATTAAAAAACGAATTAATTGAATCAACCAATCATACACAAATAACGCGAGGGGAAGTAGTCAGATTACATTGCTTTCCGGAACACATAAGAAGGGCAAATAATAATATGACCATACCTTTCAGGCCGAATGTCTTAGCAAGGGTCATGATCCATGTTAATGACTTTGTACGCACAGTTATCATAAGACCAAATCATAGTCGACCCATGTGTGTAGAGTTGGGTTTACTAATAGAACAACTAATCAGAAGACGTGTCATCGTCGAAACGATTTTCGAAGAATAACTTCAGGAATATATCATATACATAGCAATAAATAATTTACCAGAATCAAATTTTAAAGAGTCCCGTGTACGTAAAAAAAAGAAAATGGCTGGTGAACAAGCAAATGATGAAATAATTATTTCAGCGTCAGAAAGGTATGATTATTATAATATTTAAATAGGTACCTACATATTTTAATGATTTTAATTTTTTAATTTAGATTCAAAATCAACACTTATTTCAAAGCATTAGATCAAATCATAACATCAATTACTAATAGATATAATGGAGCTCGTGACATTTTTAAGGATTTATCACTTCTCTCTACAAATCGATTAATGGAAGTTTCCAAATCTCCAAATGTAATGCCCATAGACTCATTTCTTTATTTATCGAAATGGATAAAAGACATAAATATAAAAAAACTGAAAAATGAGTATATTATATTCAGCAAAAATTTCACAGAACTTATAAGTGGTATAACACTACCAACAAAACTTCATTCAATTGAAACTGAAACATCAGAAAATATGTTGAGTATGGATTTAGATGATGAATCATCAGATGATGAAATAAGTATTGAAGAGATTAGTAAAAATGATGGACCAACTGCATTGGAAATAATGCATCTTCTTCCTACTTATGATTTGAAATTATAATATTTCATATTTTAAATGGCAACTTATTTGTTGGTTATTTGAATTAATTATTCTTCTCAATTCATATTTTAAAGAAATTGTGGAAAATAAAGTAATTGATAATTTGGACATGCCAATTCCTGGTACATCAGATGAGGCAGATGAGCAGTGTGCTTTACCAGCTGCTGGTGAGTAATTACTAAATAATATTTATTTTTAAAATACATTTTAGTCTGATTGGAAATAAGGTCATTTTTATTTTACATAGCCCGTAGGTATTTTTCATAAATTAGGGGAATAAATTCTGAAATTCTAAGCACTAAAGCAGAGTATTGATTCATTTTTTTTTTGACATTCATAAAACTATCTAAATTGACTATAATAATACTATTATGATACACCAAATTTAGTCAAATTAAATTGATAGTAGATATTTTATTTATTAATGATAGAAAAAAATTAATCAATCATCATTTATTCTATTAGTAATTTTTTCATTTTTAAAATACTCTTATTTTCTAGTTATTTAAGTTAATTATTCATGGTCATATTATATATTTATAGAAATTGTTGTTAATGAATACAAAGTTGTTGATGATTTGAACATACCGATTCCTGGTACATCAGATGAGCTGTGTCCTCTACCAGCTGGTAAGTAATCATGTTTCTTTAAGTTTTAATTTTTGATAAATTAGGGGGAATAAATAATTATGAAATTCTAAGCACTAAAGCAGTACCTATTGATTCAATTTTTTTTTTCTTTGACATTCATAAAATTATCTTTATGCACAGTCATATGATGGAGCTGCTTCAATGCAAGGGGAGTATTCTGGTTTGAGAACATTTATCCAAAATGAAAACCCACAAGCAGTATATGTCTGGTGCTTTGCTCATATAATGAATTTAGTAATAGTTGATACTTTAGACTATACTACAGACATAAGGAATTTTTTTGGAGAATTACAAAGCTTAGTAAGCTACATGAGAGCTAGAAAACGTACAGCAACATTTTACGAATGCCAAAAGAATTTAAATGTCGGAACCAAATCTAAGGATCGCATTCGGAAGATAAAAAATTTTTCCGATACTAGATGGACGTCACATGACCGCGTTATTTCTGTGATTCATGATAAATTTGACGCATTAATTGATACTTTAAATATTCTGTCCAGCTCAACAGATAGAGTAACATCTTCAAACGCACGCATTTTCTTACAAACAATTTCATCATTTAATTTTATATTGATTTTAAAATTGGTAGGCAGAATATTTTCAATTACAACTCCTACATCGTGTTACTTGCAATCTAAAAACATTGATTTTATTCAAGCTTTTCAACTAATAGACAATGCTAAAGAACAATTAGTTGCACTTCGTTCTGATGAAAAGTTTGATGATCTAGCTGAAGACTCTAAAAAATTTGCAATTGATCAT